AGCTACAGACCTAACCAACATAAATGTGTTAGGGGGTGATGCACACTATAGGAAAAGAACATAACATAGATTGAAGGTGTGGGTACTGACGGCTAGAAAGAGGATGGTCAGGGTAGATAGGCCTCATTGCAGAAATGAGCTGAGCAGGGAGACGAGGGTATGAATTCCAGACAGAGGGAGGAGACAAAGGGTAGAATGTGACTCTTCTTTATAAGAAACTGCAAGAAACCCTTTTCCATTTAATACAAATGGAAAGTGGGAATACTAAAATGGAACACAAAGCCCAGTGCCCATGACGTAGCCAAACCCATCCACAGTGGCACATTAATGTTTGGTTCTCTCTTATTTCCTTTCCCTTCCTATAACCAGTCTCCCAGGGACTGGAGGATGGACCTAAACTTTCAGATGATTTAATCCTAGTTGGGCTTGGTGGCGTACCCTTCCAGTCCCAGCACTTGGGAGGCAGAGCCAGGAGGCTAAGGAGTTCAAAGTCATCCTAGGCTACATAGCACGTTCAGGGCCAGCTTAGCCTACATGAGACTCTGTCTCCCCAAATCAAAACCAAACAAAAACCAGTTAAATCCTTTCCAAAAAGATTTATGTACATGAGTGTTTGCTTACATGTATGTATGTTGACCACGTGCATACTGAGTGCCTGCAGCAGCCAGAAGAGAGAGTGTCAGAGCCCCTGGAACTGGAGTTACAGATGGCTGTGAGCCTCCTTTTGGGCACTGGGAACTGAAGCCAGGTCCTTAGCAAGAGCAACATGTGCTCTTTACTGCTGAGTCATCACTCCAGCCCCCAGTTTAATCTTTTAACTCAGGATATAATTTACAGACTAAGCCAAAGGAATTTAAACAGATTTAAAAATAGTTTCCCCTTAGAAATGCCGCTTTCTTTTTTGTTAACAAAATGAGTATAAAATCGCATGTTTCAGAACCTGATCACATATTTGCTACTTAAAAGCAAGGATAAAAGATCAAAGCTGTCGACAGAGCCCACGAGTGGGAGGAGGGCATGAAACAGCATAGAGCAGAATATGTCTGGGGGCCTGGTATGACACATGTCTTTAATCCCAACATTTGGGAGGGTGAGTCATGAGGATTGTGAGTTCAAGGACAGCCTGGGATAAATAGTTCCAGATCAGCATGGATTTTTTTTTTTTTTTTTTTTTTGTCTTTTTGAGACAGGGTCTC